AAACAGAAAGTATTCTCAATCATTTCAGAAGCTTTGGTGAAAACATGGATTTTTTAAAAGTTATAGTTGTTAAATTTTCATTATAAATATATTATACAGTATGGTTAGGTTAATAAGATACATTTTCTAGGTTCAAAGATAATGTTTTGTACTAATTAAACAAGATACAATTTTATTAAGGACAAAAACCAAGTGTTATACATCTTCGTGTCTAACATTGTCTAGAACAGTTCTGTGTAGGCTGAGTTGGTTGGTTGATTTATTGGTTGAATGATTGATTGAGAAAGATATTTGTGAGGCCACTATTCTTCAGTTACAGAGAAGTAAATTGGCCTCTTTTAACATATTGGATTTCCAGTTGAACACTATTGAATACTCCACTAGTATATAGAAGAAAACAATCACGGTGAAAAATACCATCACTCTGTTATACTATTGTTAATGTATTTCATAGTCTGAGCTGTGGGATGTATGAGTGAGCTGAGGGGGCGCAGGGAAGAGAGTATCAGATGGTTAATATTCACTGCTGCGAGGATATTGTCACGGTGAGTCTGCATGGCTAAGAGGATTAATGAGGATAGCCTACAACTAGCTTTAAAAAAGATGAATCAAGAGAATTATTAGAAGTTTTTAGTATTTCTCACAACTCATCTCCAAAGTTAAAAATAAAGTGTGCTTAACCTAAAGTGTAAACTTTATGTTGCTGCTTAGTTTCATGTATCTTTTCAGAAACTTCTTCAGGAATTTTGTTCCTGCCTTTCTAGCTTTTGCTAAACTTTTAAAATGCCTGCTTTCTTATTTCCTCACAAAAATTTTCAGAAACTTTTAAATTTCCACCTAAAACACTGTTTTGTAGTTGATTTTTTTATTTTTGCAATTTCAGCAGATGCAGGCAGAGCATTCACACCTAACTTGTTTCATACTTCATACCTTCCAAAGTTAGCATGCTGCCTTGAAATGCAGTTTGTCATAGTTTCAGAGAAAGTTATTTCACTAAACTTTTAATGAACACCTATTATTTGTCTATTAGTCTCCTAATACTCTTTACATCTGTCCTTGGTCATAAGGCTTCTCCCCAGCTAGTGTTCAGTTGGTTATTCAGGATGATTTCTCTGCAATTTAGTTGTAATTCCAGACTGGTCCTGCAAGAAGGTTAGTGTAGCTTCCACTGACTCCTCTGCCGTCTTGGACCCCACTCTCCTAATGCTCTTTAATTGGATCCAAGTTTATGTAGTTCCAGGGGGAAAAAAATCATCTATATCTTTTTCAGGGAGACAGAAACAATTTCAGCTCATGGTTCTTTCTTTGATATATTGTAATTAATTGTGCCTAAGTATCATTTTATATTTTCTTATTTTTATATTGAGATATAATTAGCATACATAATATTAGTTTCGGTTGTACCATATAATAATTTGATATTTATATATTATAAAACAGGGGTCCCCAATCCCTGAGGCTGCGAACAAGTACCATGGCCTGTTAGGAACCAGACCTCCAGCGAAGCTCGCCTGAGCTCTGCATCCTGTCTCCCCTGGTGAGGGAGAACCAGGGAAGCTCGCCTGAGTTTCCCTGCCCCAGCCCCTGCCCCTCCCCATCTTCCACAAAACCAGTCCCTGGTGCCAAAAATGTTGGGGACCACTGTAAAATGATCACCATAATAAGTCAAGTTAACATCTGTCACCATACATAGTTACATAATTTCTTTCTCATTGTGAGAACATTTAAAGTCTACTTTCTTAGCAACTTTCATAAATGTAATACAGTATTATTGAGTCCCCATGACTTACTGATTTTATAACTGGATGTTTATATCTTTTGACTTCCTTCGCCCATTTCACCTACCACCCACCGCCCATATCTGCAACCACCAATCTGTTCTCTTAGATTCCACATGTAAGTGAGATCATACTGTGTTTGTTTTTCTCTGTCCATTCTTTAGAAAAACTGAAGCATAAGGGGTAATATGAACTTACATAAAAGTATTCTCTCTCTCTGTCAAGATTAGGTATAGATATAGATACAGATATAGATATAAGTAGCAAAAGATGAGGTTGGCAAACTAACAGGGCCCAGAGCACCTAGAGGCTTTTTTTTTTTCTGCCAAGAAGGAAAAGTTCTTTCTTAAAACAGAGAGGAGCCTTTAGTAAAGAAGTCTAATGTGTATAAAAAACACAACTAATTTCCTTTTCCCAGTAAGTTATGACATTCATGGTACTTTGGTGTTTCAGACTAAGAAATGAAAAATTAAGAGCCTGATCTTGATAATTTATTAGACTGAGTGGATGTCCTAGCTACACATGTGCACAATTTCTATCCATGGTGTTTGTTTTGTTTTGCTTTGTTTTGCTTTATTTGATACTTGGAACTGATCAAAAAATGCTAGTTTTCTAATATTGCTCTTTCTTAGCTTAAAAATTGTCTTCTTTACCTTTGTACTTTCTTTTGGGGCAATGCGACATTGTCCAAATCATCAGGTTCCTCCTAACTTGAATCGGGCAAGAAGATTTCAATGTGGGAGAATTACATCACAGAACAAATGAAGTGGCTTGTATTAAAACATTTGATGATTTCTAGTCAAGCTAAAAGTAGATTATAATATATGCTCGTAAGTGGCACTTAGGCACAAGAATATCAGATATAAATAAAAAGTAGGATTTGATTTTTAATTAATGCCTTATCTTAAAATACTACTTTCTTATTTTATTCAATGTATTTAAGTTCCTGTTCATGTTCCTAGGAGCTTCATAACATTTATAAAACTGGAATGGGGAGGAGGAATGCTTTATTAGAGGCAGTTTTTCCATAAAGCATCTGGGCATCATTTTTAGCCTAGTTTGTAAATAGTATGCGAGGCTCAATAGTCTCTCTTTTTAAACACAACCCTGAAAAGTACTCTTTGCCTTCAATCGTCATTTCGGCATAGATTCTTCACATGCAAAGACGCAGTCTTAAGTGAGAAAAACAGATCCTCATCAACATTTGCTCTTGAAACAGAACTAAGAAAGTTTAGGTCATTCTAAATGAATAGAAATATGGTAGAGAACTTGTTAGATATTCCATTAAAAAAAATTTTCTTATCACCTTGTTCTTAACAAAAGATAATTCCCTCTGACTTTCTATTATGAAAATCCTTTGGTGAAGAATTGTTAAGAAGTCTACAAACAGAACACAGACTAAAATGCTTGTGCTCATTCCTTGCTGTGTGGTGGCTCTTGTAATAGCAGCATTTGTGATTCTAGCCCTCCCAAGGGGTTCAAAGTATTTTTCTATTTTTGCATTATGACTCCCACACCTCCTCCCCATTCTTGTTCTTATTCTTCCTCCTCTAAAGCAAGACTGCATTGCCGTAAAAAATAAATTGGATATATGAATGAATGGATAGAGGGGTGGATATATGAATACAAGTGTGATAAACCAATTATAGTTATTTGTTAAGGGCAGAATCTAGGGTGGAGTTTACAGTAATATTCATTATAAGATTTTTTCGACTTTGCTATATGCTTGAAAATTGTCATGAAATCTCTTATGAATGGTTACCCACAGGGGTAGGATGACAGAGGCTTTCACTTACTCTGTGTTTAAATTTTTAACAATTACATTATTAGAAAAAAATGAAAATAATTCTTTTTAGAGCTACATTAAGTTATCTTCACAAATGGAGCCACCAGACTATTAACATAAAAGGTCTCCACATTTGAAATTCACATATGGACATGCTAAATATTTGAGAATGAGCACAACAATTCAGCTGTATGATGATGACCACATCATTATAACAGGAAATTGGTTACACATCTATGGTATATATAATGAATGAAATACTATGTAACTATTAAAATGTATAGTATAAAAACAAATGCATAGACCTGGAATGATTTCTAATATTTTATGAGCTGTCTAAAAAATTGTGAATTTATGGACATGACTAGGAGAACATATATAAAAATATACCTCTAAATTATGAGATTATGTAGATTTTTCTCTTCTATAGATTTCTATCCATATTTTCTATTCTTTCCTAAAATAAAAGTTTCCCAATGTTTTTATTTTAGTAACATCAGAAAGAAGAGAAAAACAGGAAAAAAAACATGCTATTTTTCTCTGAAAATGGGGCAGAGAAAACTTGGTATCTGTAAATAATATTTGATCAAGTGAAAAACATTATCTTTTTTTCATCTGTATCACTGAAATCTGCTCTCTTACATTTTCTTACTCTTGCTCTTATAACAAAATACATTTGAAACATGTAAAAACAAATAATTTCATTCATTCTTCTGAAGATATATTCATGGGCTTGACTAATGGCTTTTGAAAGTTCAGATGTTTTCATGCTGTTAGGCCCAAGGCATTTCATACTTGGAAATGCCCTATCTTTAATCTCTAATTGCATTAAATTTCTGTGTCTGACTCAAGAGGAAAAAGCTTCAAAGCAGAAATGGGAAAATCCATTTTCTCTCCAAATATAATAACCATTGACATATTTAAGACAATGTGACACCTATGTTCCAAGTATCCTAACCAGAAGAATTGAAATTCAGGATGTACCAGTTAAATTTTTTTTAAAGTTTTTATTTACCATAGATCTCAATTTTCCAAGGAAACTTAGGCAATGTGCTAAAATTAGGTAATTTTTACAATAGGTCTATGAGAGGCATAGAGTGAGGCATTACTGTTTTCATTCATCCAGTTTATTGAACAATTTGTGACTCTGAACTTAATGTTTCAGTTACTGTTTTATCTCTTTACAAGACATTTTTCATAGATTTTCTGTCAGTGGCTATTGAAAGAAAAGTTAGATATGACTAAAAGTAAAAATAAGCAAATTAGAGTTCATTTCTGGATTCTAGTTCTCTAGTCTTCTCCTAGCAGGTTATATGGAATTTATTATTCATTTATCTATTCTTCCCTCTTCCTGTATGCTGGTAGTGTATTCTATGACTGCCTTCTCAGTCCTGCACAATACATGTTTCATTTTTTTCATCTCTTGTCTTTTCCAGGCAAAATGTCCAGTGATCGAGCCTTGAGGAAGCAGCAGCAGTTAAACAACCTTGTGTATATGGTGACAAATCAGGCCAAACCTGGTGACAGAATTGTGGATTTCTGCAGCGGAGGGGTATGATACCTCTTCATATTCTCTCTAGCTTTTCCAAGACTATGTGACTTTATATTACATTCAAGGCCATGCGTTTATTTGACAAGATTGTTGTTTTTGAAATAGCAGAAGCCTTAGGGATGAACGGTAACTTGTTTCCTTTTCTGCCTCTTTCAGGGTCATGTTGGAATTGTGCTTGCTCATATGCTGCCATTATGCCAGGTAAAGTCTGATTAATGGATGAAAGAAAACATTGGAAAACTACACGACACAGTTAGCTGAGTCTGGCTTATCCCTGCTCTCTGAGTTTATAATCATTTACCTGGGTCAACTACGTGGAACACAAATTTTCTTTTTTCTTTCATCTAAACTTCTGATATTCAGAATTTTAAGAAAAAAAAATGTGAAGTAGGATCACAACAGTTTTCAACTTTTATAAAAGAGTTATGTTTTAAAATAACTTAAAAAATAAATAACTGTTCCACTGTTAAATAGAATAATGATAAAACCAGTTAAATTGTCAACATAATATTTTACTGGAAATACTGGCTTCTGAAACTTGTAAAGCATATTCTTTTGGTGACTTGATTTTTATTCATTGCATCAAAATTGTAACAATAACAAAAATTTTTAAAGAAATAAAATAAACCCCAATCTACCACACTGATCAATCAGATGATTTTCTCCCTGTTTTCAATGTCAGTGTCCTTGAGGATGCTTATTGTTGCAAATTCTAAAAGTGCAAATACAATTTTAGTTATCTGTTTTCAGTCAATATTATATCACAAATGTTTAAGTATTGTCATTAAAATATCACTAAAATATGACCACATAGTATGTTTTAAGGAAAGGTACCATAATTTATAAAATTGTTGCCACCATTTATAAGAAGTTTGTGCTATTTTTAGTCTTCTGCCATATTAAATCATTTTTTCACAGTAACCATCTTTTAACATAAAAATCTAGAGTTTGATATCACTTTTTCAAAAAATTACAATTGAACTGGGGCACATTCTTTGCTTGTGAGCCTCTAAAAACTGCAAAATAATTATAGTGTGGCTGCACTCCCAAGAGAAGAAATGTGGAAGAACTCATAGACTGGCACAAATGACATGTAAAAATAGAATAATGACAGTTGGAGGAATGGTATTATTCTTTTACTTTCTTAGAAAATAAGGGATCAAATAAACAAGGACTCCAGGGAGAAACAGGCAGGTGTCTATTTTGTTATTTATAAAAGAAACAGTAGTATGGTTAGAGTTAGAGGAAGAAAGCTCACAGAGTAGAATCCTGGGGAAACAGCATCAGGGATATGGTGTCTTTTTTTCCCTCCGTAACAGTTCCCCTGGAAACAGAGACATTCGGACTGGAAAGGGGAAATCTTGGCTAAAATAAAGAGTAGAGAGCCTTTGATACCAAGTATACCCTGACAGGCTTTTTTTATACAAAAGGATCCAGAATTTTTCCATGAAGCCTGAGGACAGAATTGGGGTGGAACTAGGCATGGTAGTGATTAAAGTGATTTAATTCAGCCCACTTTTCTCCATCCAAACCAACGATCCTCTCCCATCGGCCTTGGCCTGGCTTACTGAGAGGCTCCTGGCGGTTGCACTGCCTTCTGCCTCACCCGCACGCATCCATACTACACATTGCAGCAATGAAACTTCTGTCATCTCCCATGATCTGGCTCCTCTTGCCTCTCCAGCCGGGTGCCCACCTTCCACACCCCGCCCTCCACCCCCGCTATCACCATCACGCACCATGCCCCAGCAATACCAATTTCTCAGTTCTTCAAACACACAGAATGTTCCTCACCTGGAGCCTTCATAGATGTTTCTCTCTGCCTGAAACACTCCTTCAGTGCCCCAGTTAATTTCTATTCACTGTTCAAACATCAGTTAATATGTTACTTTTCTACATTAATTGACTAAAACCTGCCTTAGTGATCAAGTCTAGGTGCTCTAATAACATATTATATGTCTTTTATTAAGCACTTATCACTGTATTACAATTGCTGGTTTCATGTATACCACTACAACTGTAAGCTTTTAGAGTTCAAGGACCTTTTTCATTTTTGTACCATGTCATCCGGTGTACTTCTGGGCACAAGTTAGGGATCCGTATAATATAGTCTATATTATTAAAGCTATGAAATACAGTAATAATAGTTTGCCCTAATGTCTGAATTATGTTCCTAAATGTACTTTGTTTCCTGGGTGAAATCTAGGTTACATTAATAGAAAACAAGGAATTATCATTAATTCGTGCTAAGAAGAGAAGTGATGAGCTAGGCCTAAGCAACATTTGGTTTATTCAAGCAAATATGGAGTATTTTACAGGAATGTTTAATATTGGGGTAAGTAATGAGCAATTTCAATTTCCTTAGTTAAATAAATAAGAAAAATTATATACCTTAAACTACCAGGAGTGTCCAACCTTCAGCCTGTGGGCCACATTTAGCCCAGGATTCCTGTGAATGCAGCCTAACAAAAAATCCTAAATTTACTTAAAACATTATGAGGTTATTTTTTTTATTACATGTTACAATGTATTTATTGTGTGACCCAAGCAACTCTTCTTCCAGTGTGTCGCAGAGACAGCAAAAGTTTGGGCACCCCTGAAAAGGAGATACTTTTATATTCTTTGCTAAAAAAATTTATAATTTTTATTTTCTATTATCTCTATAGCATAACATATGAGTTAATATTATTTTATTCATAAAACTTCATCATTACATGATAGAGATAACATTTGTTCTTCAACCAGACAAGAACTTTATTTTCCTCACTGCAGAATCCCCAGTGCCTAAAAACAATGTTTGACACATAGCAAGTGCTTAAAAAATAGCTATTAATTGAATGAATGAATGAATGAATGAATGCTAATGAAATTACTTCCCTTGATTTATTGTACATTTTCAAGAGATAATGAAGGAGAAGAAAAACAAAGAAGATAATTGAAAAACACAGTTTATTAGTGATGTGTAGATACTAGAGTAACCTTAAGGTAATATTTACTTCAGCTACTATTTGATATCTGCATGTATTTTTAGCTTCCAAGAGACAAAAAATATATTAGTCATGTTTCTAAAACTTTAAAACCAAATTATTATTATTTGATATTACTAAAAAGGCCTAAGATGTATGATTGTGCCAGCTCATTTAAAGCCAAGATTGTGTGCTCTGGTGGAATTTGATTTTCACCAATGATGTTAGTGTTGCTGCTGTCCCTTGTATTTGTTTGAAATATTTTTTTCCTTATTATTATAGGACTATATGCTCAAGTGAGAAAAATACATAATAATATTAAGAAGAATCGCCAGTACTTCCTTTACTGAAAGATAGATACCTGTACCTGCTAAAAATCTTTGCTCTTTAGATATTTATGCACACATACCAATGCATATTTACTCACGCGTTAACATCATTGAGATTATATTATATTGATCCTGCTTTAATTGAACATTGTCACAAACCTTTTCCCTAGTAATTAATCACTTCCTTTTTTCATGTCATTACAATATAATTGTTACAGTACAGTGATGGATATCTTGTGCATCAAGATGTTTAAAGACTTTTGATACATTTGCTTTCTAGGAATCACTTTCTAGGAAGGTTGTCCTAATGTGTATTTTCAACTCTATGTCCACATAAACAATGGGCTCCTCTAGCTGGAACTCCTGTTGAATTTCATAAGCTCAGCCTTTTTGTAGTACTTACAATTTTTTTCCAATGAAGGTCATTTCTTAAGTATCAACTGCTTAAAATTTCTAGGGTTTGTTGTTGTTTTTTACCATCTAAAAAGTACGCAATTTGTTTCCTTTGTAGACAAGAACTAGATTGGTTCTTTCAAGCCAAGCCCATAAAAAGAAAACTGTTAATAAGGTAACTCTTTATAAGGAAATTCAGGAAAATGAAGACATCTAATCTAGTAAAGTCAAATTAAATATATATTTATGTGTCGTTTAAGTTGTACACAAACATTGAGGTAAAGATTAAAGCTTCTCCCGTGAAATGAGACAGTGCCTGTGTTACAAGACACCAGGCAGGATGTGTAAGGTAGCACAACATTGCTGCCCATTTACTCACCTCTCAAGTCACAAAATCCCAAGTCTATCAGCCATGTGTCTCTTTATCCTTCTGTGGTTTATAGGTAGTAAATTACTGTGGCATATTCTTGTAACTTTCAGTCATTTTTTACTAACACCAACTAAAAATGTAATGTCTTTTGGAAATGATATTGTCTCTACATATCATAGTAATATATCCATAATTTTTTTAATTGCATAATTACCTTTGTCAAGATATATAGAAAATGATTTAAAATTACTTGGAGGAGCATTAAACCAAAATTAGATTTACTCTCAAGAAAATTATTTGCCTAGGACAATAACTGAGGTAATGTCACTAGATAAAACAAACTAAGCATCAGTGAGTCTAACTCTTGTACTAAATAGATTCTAGTGAAAGTAGTGTAGCTAGAGAGGAAATCAGAATAACCAGGTATTGGAAATGCATTAAAACTACATTAATCCCTGATTTTGTGAAATTTCAAATAAGGGTTTAGATGACATTTATGTTTATTTAATAAATGCTTTTTTCTTTTACTGTTTTTCTTTAGCTATACAAATTAATGATGTGAACAAGATTTTAAGGAGAGAATTTTTACAGTCTTAGATCCAACTATCTTTAGGAATTTTAAACAAATAATTTATATATAAAACAAAAATACTAATTACTACTTGTATCTCCATTAGTACAACAAATCATATCAGGCAAAAATGAATACATTTACTAATTTTGTTAAACTAGTTTTATTTGAAATAATGAAAGAAATCTAAATATTTTCTGATATTTCCACAATGTCTTCCAACACCCTCATGTAATGCACCTCCCTCTTTAACAAGAACCAATAAGGTGATAACTGTGTTTGATCCCAACAGTCCCTTTGTAGTTTCTGGTTTGCATTGTGCTTATTTGAAAAATATATTTCTTTAGCAATACAAATGTTTAATAAGCATATAAAAACATTCAAAGTCTCTAGTAATCAAATATATTTTAATTTGTTTTTTTAAAATGTCTCTCATCTATTTATTTATTTATTGGGGGTGGGGAGAAAGAGAAGTAGAGAAACATCAGTGTGAGAGAGAAACATAAATTCGTTGCCTCCTGTACATGCCCCCATGGGGCATGTGCTCTGCAACCAGGCATGTGCTCTGACTGGAGACCTTTTGTTTTACAGGGTGATGACCAACCAACTGAGCCACACTGGTCTGACCTAAACACATTTCAATTTGAATAACAATATTTCATTTTTGCTCTAAAATTTGCAAAGATTTTTGAAATATTGTTACTCGTTGACTACAAGTTTTCAGTGAGATGAACTTAATAATACAGGAGCTTTGAAATTTTCATTTATATATTTGCAATGATTTGCTAAAGCCATGAAAAATTAGTTACAATGGTAAGTAAAATAGTGAGAGATGCAAGATGGCAGAGGAGTAATTAGAAGCTACACTAACCTCTTCCCAGTACCAAACTGGAATTACACCTAAATTATAGAAAAATCATCCTGAATAACCGACTGAACACTGACTGGAGAGAAGCCTTATAACCAAGGACAGACGAAAAAAACCACACCACCACCACAAGACTGGTAGGAAGTGCAGAGGTTCAAGAGGGCTGGCAGGGCTCCCACAGGTGGCAGCTGAAGTTCCAGAGGGATATTTGAGCAGCCAGGGCCGGAGGTGCTCCCCCTTAGAAGAATGAGGCCTAAACCCCAAGTTGGTGTTCCCAGTCTAAAGCACCAAAACTGGGAAAGGAACCCAAATAACATCTGGCTATGAAATGTAGTGCGGTTTCTGTCCAACAGGGAGAGTTGGCTAGATACATAGAGAGCCTCTTAAAGAGCCAGCACAAAATTTTCTTTGCAGCCACTTACCCTGGGCTCCAGCAGAGGGAGGGCAAAGCAGACCAGAGACGCATGAGGAGAATCTGGGGTTGGTGGCTCTGGGGAGAGAGCTGAAAGGTCAGCTGCCAGGACCTCTGTGCTGAGTCCTTTCCCATACTGCACAAGCCATCTTTCTTGGGCAATGTGCTCCCTTCCAGGTGGCATCAGTACTGGGGGAAGCAATTGACCCGTCTGCAGGAATCCCTCTTGCCCCACCTGGTGGAGCTTAAGCCAGGCTGCTGAGGAATAGAGCTAGAGGTTAGTTTAGTGATTAAGTATAACAGAAAGTCTGCTGGTGCAGGCTGATCTCTGGGAGCTTTGAGACTTTAGCTGATCCTCTCTCAACCCCAGTGCAAGTAAAACCTGGCCTTGGTGCACGACCTGGTCCTTTCCACACACAAACAGCCACTTACTGGCTGTGTGACCTTGGGCAACTAACGAGTTTTAGTATTTCCATCTATTAAGTGGATAAAAAATACATGGTTCATAGCACATTGACACTATGTATATGAAGCACTTAGCAGGTTGTTTGGCACCTAAGAAGTACTCAGTACATTGAGCCTCTTCTTACTCTGCAGTGTGATATCAACCATGTAAAAACTGCAAAATGAGGATGGGAAGAAATTTTGCTAATATGTATTTTTTAAAGGATGCTAGCTCTATATATTGTATAATAATAATTTTCTTTATTATTTTCAATATTCTCAAAATCTCCCAAATTTAATGTTATTACTTTTATACTCATGATAAATAAACAATAGAGAGGAAATAAATATTTATGTTTAATATTTTTAGATAGCTTATTTAGCCCAAAATAAAAAAACAAAAAACTAATAGGGTCAGAAGGATTACTATAATATATATAATAAAGGATGCTGCACATATAAGATATATAATATTTAAATATGATATGTGTGATTTCTTTCAAAACAAGTATTTGATTATTATAGAAATAACTTTTAATTGACTTATTCTGATTTTGATTATAATGACTATTAATGTCCTGAGGAAAATATAAAAGCCTTTCAAAAGTAAGATTCAGCCAAGGAGGAGTTTTTCCTTTCAGCTTCAATATATGCAGCTGTATGACAGTGAAATTGTGTTTTATATATTGAATGTTTGTATCTGTCCCCCCCCCAAAAAAAATTCTCAACAAAGTGGATAAAGAGGGAACATAATTCAATGTAGTAAACATCTTATATAACACAAAACAAACATCATAATCAGTGGTGAAAAACTGAAAACTTTTCCTCTAAAATCAGAAACAAAACAAAGATGCCCACTCTTTTTTTTTAATATTTCATTTATTTATTTTTAGAGAAGGGGGAAAGGAGGGAGAAAGACAGGGAGAGGAACATCGATTGGTTGCCACTCATATGTGCCCCATCCAGGGACCAAACCTACACC